TTAGAGGTTTTTCAAGTAATTGGTAAAAGTTAAAAATAAAAAAAGACAATTATTATTAAAATTATTTTACTATATTTGTAGCATAAGTTGTTTTTTATACATTATCTCTTCAATTCTCATTTCACAATAAACATTTTCATACAATAATGAATAATGATAATTTTTTCAATATGCAAAACAAAAACAAAGAGAAAAAATTTTTAATTGAACATCTTTTATTATTATGATTACAATTTTTAATGGGGATAAAAGATAATTATAAAAATTAAAAAGTATAAAATCCCTCAAGAACAAAATAACAAATATTTGGTAGTGATGGATCTTCATGTTATTGGTATGAATGTTTCTAATTCTGTGATGCATGGAAGATCTTCTTTATGTATGTTACAAAAGTGCAAATCAAAACTTATAAATGCAAGCAGGAATGATCGCCTTTTCAACTTTAAAGTTTACCACATGATCGAGTAATCGATGTGGCGCAGAAAGTAGTGACTTGCACTATTCACCATCATCATCATTACCATTGCTATTATTATTATCCCACCTCTGATTTAATGTCAATAATAAATAAAATTTGTTTTTTTATTTATCGACTAAAAATTGCTTCTTTAACCATGTAAGTATGTTACACTGGTCCTATTCCTTATATTGTTTTTAAATTGATTCGCATAATTAAGATTGGTTTGTACTTAATTTGGCAATAGAGTTTTTCCGGTCCTCTAACAATATTATTGTATCAGCCAACAATATATTGTTACATAATACAAATTTATCTATGTAGCACAACCCTGCACTGGATTTACTATTATTACTACTTGAAAACAACTACTCGAAAAAAATAATCTTTGAAGAGATAGGTGATTTGAATATAGAAACAAATTAAGTCGTTAAATAATAAATTTAGTTATCAATTGAAAACAACCAATATTATTCAGCTACAACTAGACTGATTTACACCAATTGAAGCCTTTGGAGAATCGCAATTTAGTAATTAAATTATAATTATCTGGGTATTATTGTTATTTATTTTGTTTATATTT